TTTTTGATTTCCTGTAACGGAAATCACGATTTATATACAATTCTTTTATTGCGAATTCACAAGTTGCCATGAAAAACAATTCCTTCAATACCTCAAAAAGTTCCAATATCAGTGTTTGTGATGAAGATGGAAGAAACTTCTGTTGTTTTCCACTTGATTCAACATCACAAATGAATTTGCCTCTTATCAAATAATCAGTCTCCCCATCTGTAAAAATTGCCTGATTTGTGATCGAGAACAGCCTAAATCCGTTCAAATGCTGTTCTTCTGATATTGATGTGGTCACCTTGCATCTTCTATAGTGGTTGTTTGATTTGCTTAAATAAATTGGGAACTCAGCTGCCGCTAACACCGTACTGATAAGTGAAAATAAATAGCACATATTGAATAAGGATGATCTCCTTATAAAAATTTTATATTAAAAATTAAGGATGAACACGACACAGTGTCTATCGTACTTGGAAACACTGATTTGTTTGATTTTAGTCTGAATAAAGAATTGAATATTGAGTTTTCATCTATTGATAAAAATTCAGCAAATACGAAGAATGATTTAATAGAGATAACCTAGGCGGTGTAGACCTAAACAGTCTTGTCTACGTGTTCGCAATCAAATATGTGTAGCAAGTGATGCTATCAATGACTGTGCCTAATAGATTTAAAAGGTGAATTGTATGATTAAGCAATATCGATTGAACGATATAAAATAAAGGCAGTTTCATTATACCAATATATTGATCAGCCTTTACATCACATAGAATGTTTAAATGTTTACAGCTTCATTATCACCAACTTCACGTAATTCCTTTTCTTCCTTCTTTTTATAAGGTTCGACAATGAAACTCAATTCGGTATGTTCTGCATTGCTGTGCTCAAAAAATGTCTCATCTTCATCCAGAATACACTTCGGAAACATTGGAATTATTGTTGATTCTCCGAATTCCCTTTTTTTGAGACTTGCTCCATCTTCATCTTCACTTTCACCTTCATCTCCAGTTGTAAGTTTCTGTTTAGTCGATGGATTTGCTGATTCTTCGTATAATTTCGATTTGATTGTATACGTTTTAGTATCCACTTCTTCATTGAAAGTCACATTATTGGTCTGTTTTACACCTCGTTGTTTTAGGCAAGTTTTCTTGGCTTTCTTATCCCTCTCTTCAAGTGTCAATTCTTCGACTAATCTTGTTGTGGCATCTGCATCACATGGTTCCTCATCACTCTCATCTTCCTCATCAGAATCATCATCGTCTGAAGTATCATCTTCATGATCCTCTTTGTATCGTTTAGCCGCAAAAGATCCAATATCATCATTTCCCCAATAAAGTAGCTCCAACATTGCATCAACGTAACTTATTCTATCCGCAAAGTGTACAATCAACCTGTTGTCTGCTGCTTTGTATTTTTTCATAGCTTTCTTAGACATTTTGAACTTCGTCTTACACCATTTCAAGTTGCTTTCTACATCACAATAACTTAACTTAGCAGCCCAGATGTTAATTGTCAGTTTAGAACTGGCGTTACATTCAGAGTATCTGAAGATGTGATTGCCCGTATAATGATTTACACGGAAAGATTCATCCAATTCCAACTCCTTTGCTACGTATGCACACACATCTAATGCAAATTCCACCCTTAGTATTTTGACAAATATTTTCAAAGCATCACTGTTTGTCATCAAATCAAAATCAATAAATGACTGACTTGAATTAATTTGACATCCAAATTCACCCTTAACAACGTAGAATGTATCGTTGTATTTTATTATAGATTGCACCTTACAATCAATAAATGGAAATCCTGATGCATGCTGTTCTGGTGTTAGGAATGTTGTTACGTTGCTGAGCAAGCAATGCCTATACTTCGAATGTGTATAACTGCTATATTTAAAGCTACATAATACCGTTTCTAAAATCAGTAGTAGAAGCTTCATGTGATTGGTTTATAACGGTATGTGGGTTTAAATTTTTATTTAAAAGATTAAGAGTGATATTTTAAACATGACAATCAGCTTGATTTATTGAATACACTCGGGACAGGCAAAAAATTCGACATTAATGAATGTTTATTTATTGATCAATTTTGAATTGACGTAATGAATTTATCATGTTGTACTATAAGGATGATATAAGTTGCAATACCGCTTGATCTGTTGAAAACGAACGTCATGCTTGTCGTTATTTGTTGATCAACAATTCATAGAAATAGGAGGGAAACCACAAATAATAATTGATGTGTATGTGGTCGGGAGAAAGGCTACAACTAATCTTTTAAGTTTTAATAGGAAATTTGACCACATATGTAGTTTGAAATGTGATAAGAAAGCTTCGGAAATCTTAAGTAAAGGATAGGTACTGTTCCCTCTTACAATAAGAGAGACCAGGCAAGAATATTAACCGTAAGGCTTCTGAAAAGGTGTCAGACGTCATGTCACCTCTTAATCCCGGCATCACTAAGGAAATAAGCTCAACAATAACGCTATATGGTGATTACGACTTCAATTCTTTTATTTAACAACTATAAAGCGTATATTGCCTCTTATACCCCACCTAGAAAAAATACAAGTAAAAACCTAAAATCCGTTTTATTTTTCTACCGGGATATATCAATAATATAAAATGATCAATCATTTCCGTCGTCTACTCCACCAACAGCACCTTCCTCTTCCTCCTTGTCTGTCTGTTCTGTAGTATAAATCTCAACTAAGAAACTCAAACCAGGCTGTTCTGAATCACTGTGCTTAAAAAATGTCTCATTTTCAGCTAGAATGCATTTCGGAAACATTGGAATCCTCTTTCTGTTTTTTATTGCCGCAGTTTCTTCAGCTGTTTTTTCTTTTGATTTGCGTCTTCTTATAGGCTGCCTGTCCACATCTTCACTTGCAAGTGGTTGTTTTATTATTGGATTTGCAGCAGTTTTGCTTGCTATCGACTTGAGTCTATACGTTTTAACATCTGAATCATCTCTAAATGCTACCTTCTTAGCTCGTTTTGCACCTGGCTGTTTTAAGCACGATTTTTCAGGTGTCTTAGTTCTCCCTTGAAGTGACAAATCAGCCAATGGTGCTGTTGGGTCTTCTGCATCTGACGACGAATCATCACTCTCATCACTCTCATCTTCATCATCACTTTCGCTAGGCTGTTCAAGCGCAATTGACCCAATTGCTACCTTATCCCAAAAAAACAATTTTAACATTGTTCCAACAACGCCTATTCTCTTCGCAAAGTGATAAAACACCTTATATTGATCTAATCTAAACGTAGTTAATTCCATTTCTCTTATGTTGTATTTGGCTTCTCTCCATTTTAAGTTCTCTTTTACGTCACAATAGCTCAACTTAGCAACATTGATAGTGAATGATAGTCTAGAAGGTACATCACCTTCGTTGTTCACAAATATGTGATCGATTTCATATTCTCTTTTACGGAATGATGCATCCAATGCCAATTCCTTTACTACGTATTCACTCAGATCTATAACAAAATCTCGCCTTAATATCTTAATCCAAACTTTCAAATAATCCCTCTTTACCATCTCAGCATATTCGGTATTGAGCTGATTTGGATTGATCCAGCATCTAAATTCACCTCTAACTACGTAGAATGCATCCTTAAATTCTACTATATGCTGTGTTGCTAAATAAAAAAATGTAAATCCTGATGCCTGTAGCTCTGGTGTCAATGCTGTTGTTACATTAGTAGATAAACCGTGTCTACCCTGCTTGTGTGTGTAACTGCTGTACTGAATACTGCATAATGCTATATTTAATAACTTCATATTAATAAGGGTTTTTATCTCAAAATTTACAAACATACACACTGGGGGACAAAACTTTAGAAATCGATCTATACCCACGCATTTACTTTTATACTCGTTCCTAATTTGTTTACCCCGATATTCTCTGTAGTTTTTTTGTATTTCGTGCACGACAGGCCTTCATATTGTTTAGTTGAGAATAAATAAAAATTTACACAGAAACTAATTAAACTATTGGACAAAAATTTAGAAATAAACGTTTGAATGAGTGTATTAGTAAATAATGTGTTTCCCTCGCATTTATTTTAAGCATTTCGGACTGTTTTAAGCCATGGGTCAGCGTTCAACGTTATCAGAAGCTGAGATCACTACGATCAAGGTCCTGAAGGCAGAAGGGTGGTCTAATAATGCTATAGCTGCCAAAATCAGGAGAAGTGTGGTTACGGTGTGGCGATTCTTACAGAGCCCAGCCTCTTATGGTACTAAAAGGGCATCTGGCCGTAAGAAGATACTTTCTAACCGCATGGTAAGGAAGATCATCGAAACGGTTAAGGAAAAAGTCATGGCACCACTTGAGATTAAGGCGCAATTCGACCTTAATTGTCATCCAAAGACAATTAAGCGTGCGATAATGGCCAACTCTAATCTCAAGCCAACCGTGCTGAAGAAGAAACCTGGCTTAACATTTACTCATAAGCAGAAGCGAGTTGGGTTTGCCAGGTTTCATGCGAAACAGCGCACGGACTGGAGCAGAATCATCTTCTCTGATGAGAAAAGGTTCTGTATTGATGGTCCAGACCGGTTGCACTTCTACTGGCACGATCCTCAGGTAAAGGAAACGTACCTGATCAGAAATCAACAAGGAGGTAGAGGATTGATGTTTTGGTTGGGTTTCCATGGAACAACCAAACTAAATCTGATCTTTGTTGAGAGTACGATGAATGGATTGTAGTACCGAAACGTTGTTATGCGTTACGTGAAACGGATAATTGATGGTTCCGATCAATTATTAAGGTTTCAGCATGACAACGCATCGGTACACACATGCAGTGCGGTCAAGGAATTTATTGATCTGCATGCTCTAAACACGTTAGACTGGCCTGCTAGGAGTCCTGACCTGAATCCTTGTGAAAATGTGTTCAGTTCTCTGGTTAAACTGGTTTACAAGAACGGTAAACAGTATCAGAACCTGAAGGACTTGAAAGCATCCATCATTAAGGCTTGGAAAGATCTAGACCCAAAGATACTGACTAGTCTGGTTGAATCAATGCCTGATAGGTGTGACAAGGTCTATGATGAGCATGGAGGAACAATTAAATATTGTAATTTCTAACTTTCTGTCCAGTAATTTAATTTAAAATGTGACTTTTTTCTATAATGGTTCAAAAATCGTTTTATTGAAGTTTTGACGTATGCAACACTAATTAAATAAGCAATAGGTAATATACGTACCTGAAAAGTTAGACATGCTAACTATCAAATATACACTATAGATCGATTTCTAAAGTTTTGTCCCCCAGTGTATCAATTTTTAATAGACGAATGCACTGGCTCAGGTTGCTGTTTTGATTGGTTTTATTGTCTTTCTATGCAATGATAGCAGGATGCGCTTAACATACTAAATTAATACTATGGTATTTTCGTATCGATGTTCAAACCACCACTGTTTGCGTTTGAACTTGTTATTCAAATATGAATTTACGGTCTGTTGTTGAAAATAGTGGGGTTTTATTCAAACAACCGAAATGAATAATGCAAGAAGACCCACACTATGAATAAAAAATGTGTAACTTGCTGTAAGGATGCTCATTTTTACAAAGATGTAATTGATTGTGGATATTCGCATCTAAATACCGTCAACTGCATATTTTTGCCATAGTACATTCTTCATTGTGAATTCTTTATTGCTAGTAAGAACTTTACAGCTTTTTAATACCTTTCGATTCATCTGCAGTTTCAGCAGGACGCTTGGTAGGCTGTTCGTCCATCGTATTGATATGAGGAATGTCAGGTGAAAGCTCTTCATCTGATTCTTCGAAGCATTATCTGTATACTTTTGGGAAATAATTTAATAGTGTTAGTAGATTAGATGATGGGTAAATTGCAGTTCCATTCCTTCTCATCAATGCCATAAAGTTTCTGACTACGCCAATCTTATTCATCAATTTACCTGATTTTTTTAGGTTTTTAAGTGATAGGAATAGTACAGAATATTCTTGTAAAATGATACAATTATAATCCCTTACTTAAGATCATCAAATATTGCCTCATTTACCATTAGTTTCGATGATAAATACTTTTCTATATCTAATTTGTTCATCAATTATTACCAGATCCAGATGCTTCATCTGATGGATCTAGTATGACTGTATCCGCATCACTAGAACCATCTTCTTCTGCTTCCACATATTTCTCTACAATGAATTTCGCTGGCTTAATATCTGATGAATCATCTTCACCATTATCTGGTTCATGAAATGTCTCGTTTTTCTCCAGAATACACCTTGGGAATATTGCAACTGTTTTGCTTCCAAGATCAGCATCACTTCCTGCCTTAGTTGGCTCAGTTTTCTCAAATTTTGGAAATTCTTCATCTCCTTCGTATTGTGAGACCAATGTTGTCACTTCACTTGCTGCTTTCTTGTATCTTTTCGTACCTTCTTCACCAAATTTACGTACATGCTCTTTTGTTGGTTCACTACTCTCACATCTTCTTTTTCTTGTGCTCGCATATAAATGAACAGTTGCTTCCTCCTTAAATCGAACACTCCGCTTCTTTCCTCTCTTTTTCTTAGCTGATTTCCCCTTAATACACTTCTTACCTGTGAATGATCCTGGTTTCATCGCACTCTTAGGCACTTTAACTTCTGTTCCTGATTCATCATCGCTCCTTCTCCGTTCTACTCCTGATGTGCCTTCTTCTGGATCATCTTCATACAATAACCTGATCATCGAATAAATAACATTAACCACGCCTCTAAACAGACGCGAAGTCTGCGCTTTTCTTCTTCTTTTGTATTTTGCTATATCCAAATCATATATATTTATCGTTGTTTCATACCAGCTACTATTCTTATCAACATCACATAACATCAATTTGGCCATTCTAATATTGTATGTAAATGATGTTTTCAGCTGATGGTCATTTACAGTATCCTCTGCCGTAAACTGAATACAGAGTCTCCTAAATACCCTATCTGATCCAAACTTAACCCCAATCAACCTGCTTGTTACTTCAACCATTTCATTTGATATTTTTTCCTTTTCAATAGTTTCTCCTGACTGCTCTTCACTGTACGGTAGTGTCGTACCACTTGTTTCAACTCTACACTGCAACGTAGTTCGTACTACATACAATTCTTTACCAACCTTCAGAATGTATTGAATCTTAGTGGTCATAAATTCATATCCATTAAGATGTTCTGCTTCAGTCAGATGCCTTAGTATGTTCTGTTCCAATACGTCCTTATAGTGAACACTTACATAGTAAGCTATTTGAAGTTGCACACTTGTCAAAATGAATAATATAAATACAAATTTCATATTAATAATTAAGGTGTATATTTTCATAACAATCCACACAAGTCTAAATTTGATCCATTTCTGATCTATTTCAGACTACCAACACAATTATAGTAGAATATCCAATAATAAAAAAATTTCAAAACAAATTAAATAATATTTTGGTATCTTGCTTATTACGTCATCAAACAGAGCAACAATTGCACCAATGGCAGTCCCAGATGACGTCATCTGTCTCAGGTTGTTTGAGTCGTTTAAAACAAGTTTGTTTTGTTTCGTATGTTCATGTTGTTGATTGCTTTTATGTTGAATATGTCTACGCCGCTGATCAAAGATATCATGCTGTGCTACGCGTACATCATATCAACTGCAGTCGTACAACAGCTGGCAGCCCTGTGGCCCCAGTCGAGCGATGTCCCAGCTGCAGATGGGAACAGCGAGATCGACCCAAAGGCCCCGCCTGGTGACCGAACAGGCCCTGATAAAGAAGTTGACAAGAAGAGCCCTGATAAAGAAAAGGATATTGATAAAAAGAGCCCTGATAAAGAGAAAGACGTTGACAAGGTGACCCCCAATAAAGATATTGACAAGAATGGTCCTGATAAAGAAAAAGACGTTGATCAAAATACACAGAAACCAAAGGCTACCTTCAATGACAATAAGGTGATTCTTCTGGATGACAACCTAAAGGATCCAGTCTCTGATAAGAAGTTAAAAAGGAAAATGAGAAAGAAGATAAAGGCTAAGGCAGCTAAGGAAGCAGCACGTGCAATCAGACAGGCAAAGAAGAGAGCAAATAAGGACAATAAAACAGCAGCGATGTTCATGTGCTCCTGGGATGCTCAAAATATGAAGATTGAGGCTTCACCATACGTCTTCTGGAATGGAAATGCGCCTATTACAAAGGCAGCACCTGATTTGAGCAAAGAGGAAATAGAACGTATCAGCGAAGATACAAGCGAAGCACTAAAGAAGTTGATATCACTGTCAGGTGAAAAGGATGAGATAGTTGACGCGGTTGATGTAAAGGCAAAGAGTGAGACAAGTGAAGTAAGTGAGGCAAGTGAAATAAGAGCAAGAAGTAACGTGAGTGATGTGAGTGAAGAGAGCTCCTCGTTGCAAAGGTGGTCGGATCCAGGGCCATCTGAGCAACCTCTTCCAATCTATCACCGTCCCATTCCACCTGTTAATGGCCAAGAAAGGAAACCATCAAAGATCATTGCCGATACAAAGGCGTGGTTGATTGCTAATGCTTCTTTTCACGATTCCGTTCTGAAAACAGCTCAGATTCCTAGGGATGAATCATCTCAGGAAGTTGTACAGGGACCAGCCCAGTCCACTGTACAGAAGTCAATTCGTGCTTGTATCCTGAANAGGCGTGGTTGATTGCTAATGCTTCTTTTCACGATTCCGTTCTGAAAACAGCTCAGATTCCTAGGGATGAATCATCTCAGGAAGTTGTACAGGGACCAGCCCAGTCCACTGTACAGAAGTCAATTCGTGCTTGTATCCTGAAATCAGCACCAATGTCACCACAGGAAGTTGCCCTATTCTCTTCGCCTAAGGAGACTGACAAGGAGTCAGATGGCGAAACAGGCAATGAATCTGATCACAGTCAAGTTCAAGAATCCACACAGGCATCTGTTCAGGATTCTGCTGATAAATCAGAGAAATCAAATGTGCCACCTGAATCAGGTGATAAGCCAGAAGCATCCAGGAGTCTGTGGGATAGAATCATCGAAATGTGCTGCTGCATAAGCACAGTTGAGGATGAGTCCACTTACACAACGTATTAATAAACAGGTAATAGAATTTGATTATTTATTGCCCTTAAAATGAGCAATAAAATAGAACGGGTTACAGACATCCAGAAGTTGCTTGTTGGGATATTGGAGGAATACAGTGGTAAGGAAGCCAATATTATGATAGCAGGTGGCAGTTTGTGCAGTGTACTGGCGTCCAGTTCCATTTCAAAGATGGATACAGAAAAGTGGTCTATTTTTTATTCAGATGAAAGGTGTGACCAAAGCAAGTTGAACTATTCTGAGAGCACTGAATTTCTCAATTTATTAAGCATAAAGACAAAAGTGAATAGGATTGATTCATTGAGTAAGAGAGGGGCAGAGGAGTACAACGACCTTCTAAAGAAGACAAGGATGGACCTGGCTCTTCTTGGAATAGGAAATAACGGTCACATCTGCTCAATTTGGCCAAATTCACCAGAAATGGACTCAGAGGAGTATTGTATCAAGGTGGAGGTAGACGATGAACTGCGTGATCGTATTACAGT